ATTTGTAGCATGTTTTGAGGCTACAATTCAGGCTAATTGGTTGTGAAACTTTATTTCAGGGCTTGAAATTGTCGACAGTATTGTTAAGCCACTAAAAATGTATTGTGATAATTCTGCATCAGTATTTTTTTCGAAGAACAACAAGTACTCTAAGGGTGCTAAACATATGGAATTAAAGTACTTTGTCGTGAAGGAGGAAGTAACAAAGAGTGTCAATAGAACATATTAACACAAATCTTATGATAGTTAATCCTTTAACAAAAGGATTACTGCCCAAAACATTTATTGAGCATGTTAAAAATATGGGCATTATTGTTACTAATGATTTTTGAGTATCATGTTTATTTTATGTGATTGACATTTTGAGCTCATTAATGATATGTTTTTAAGTACATGTTTTCTATGGTTTTATGCATATTTGTGTTAGAGTAATGTAAACAAGTGTTATCTTGAATAAAGATATAATGTTGGACCAAGTATGTGCTCCTTATTAATGATCATATTAAGAAGAAGACTTGTTTGTAGTACATGGAAGGGACTATGTCGATTAAACTGATATACAACTGCCATGACTCGAATTAGTTCATATTTTTAATTATGAAATTATGATGAACCCAATGTATAAAATGATTTAGCCATTTTAATGGGCATTATGTTAATTTAATTTATTTATTTATTTGTCCGTTATGAGAAATGTCACATGAGTCAAGTGGAAGAATTTAAGATAATTATGTCTCATGTGAGAAACATGTGATGTATAAAGGGACTAATAAATAAATAATTAAATAATTAGGGAATAAATCATAAATAAACTTAATGGAGCAGTTTTGAGAATAAATTTTATTTGATGGGAATAACAATCTTTAGGGGTTATAAATATCCACTAATGTGAAACAAGGTCTACACCCTTGACAGAAAGTATTCTCTCAAACCCTAGCCATCACGAAAGATAGAGAGGGTAGAAAGAAAAGTCAAAGGGAGTGAAATCTTGGTTCTCTTCTCAAGAAGATCAAAGTACTCTAAGGATCAAGGAGATTTCCATTATGGAGAAAGGTACTCATTTTTCTTATTATCATGTGAGTATCATGAATTTCAAAGATCCTTTAATTTTCTATAATTGATGTATTAGAAAATCATAGAACTTACAATTTGTGTAATGTGAAGAAAATGAACAGTATGTGATGTGCCTAGGGATGAGAAATGAGAATGTATGAGAAATATTGGAATCCTATGATATTGTGAAACATGAGTTATGTGATAAGTGATTAAGTGAACAAGCCTAAGTATAATTTAGCAGTGATGTAAATTGTGAATTGAGAGACTATGTGATTATGCTTTCTATGACCATGCATGAGACTTTATATGTCATTCATCATTTGCATAAATGTATTTTTGTATAATGGGTACAATGTGAAATATGCTATCAAGAAAGGTCCCATGCATTTCTGTAAAAGCTTGGAAATTTCGTGACTTTGGGGACAATTAGGTTTGGGAGCCTCAATCTCGTCACTTCATGTGCATGGGGTGAAACTTAATTGGCATGCACACATAGTTATCCTAATTACATGTCACTGGTGTATTTTCTTTTAGTGTAAAGTGTTGTGATGGTTTGGCCCAGCATGTACTCTTAGATTACTTAACCTTTAGACGGTAATAAAGTGTTTTACTAATGTCACATGCATGTAGTTAGGAGATCGAGTCTTGTCTTTACATGAGCATAACATGCATTTGTATATTGAATTGTGTTATTGATATATGATGACATGTGGTATTGATGGACTCCTTCCACCATGGGAGGACCAAAGACGTCCAAAGTAAAGAGGAGCTCCTTGCCATAGCCAAGATGATGACCTTAAGTGATGGACTTTCCTTCAAGGGTGGAGAAAAGAGAGAATGGGCGTGAGGGGCTAGGTGGGCGATTAGGGAAAAATGAAGGAGAAAGGTGTTTGCAAGGCTCAAGGTTGGCTCACTTCACTAGGCAAGGGTGAAGGCCACTCAAATAACCTAAACTCACTCAAGGAGGAGAGGGGAGGGTTAGGCTGTACGTGTAGACCTAGGTGACTAAGGAGAGGATTTGAGACAAAAATGCTCACTTAAATTCATATATTCCAAAGTGTGTACAAGGTGTTAGGTTAAGGGTATTTATAGGAGTAGGAATGCATCTAGTGTTGCATTTAGGGTTGCATGGCCATGTAATGCAAGCCCAAATGCAAGCTAAATGCAACCTAAATGAACCCTAGATGATGTGTGGGTTCCTTCCTCCTAAAAGACTAAAATACCCTTTGGCTTAAAAATAGAAAAATTGGACTTTGACCTCACAAGTCAAGGTTTAAGTCCTAAAATAAATCCTAAGCTAATTTTCCCCATAATACAAAGGCTAAATGAAAATACATAATAAAATCCTATCATCTAAAGTTCCCCAAAATACAAGGGTAAAAAAGGAAATAAAGCAATAAAATCCTATACTACTCAAAATGGGCTTAGGAGATGGATCAATACTCCACACTCATGATGAGTATGGCTCTAGGCATGGTGTCTCCTTCATCTTCCTCCATTCTCCTAGCCATGGACCTAGTAATGGGTCCCACATGAAGCTCCAAGGGTGGTCCTCCATCAGGTATGATAGGATATGAATGAATGTTTACTGTTACATTGTTATGGATATATTATTGTTGTTTATTATATTATATCATGCTAAATATTTTGTATGAGTGTGACTACCTAATCATTTCCTACACCGATAGCTAGAGTAAAATATGTTCTCGCTCCCCTTTGTCCTTTGTGTCTTTGGTATGTTTATGTAAATGATTTTAAGTTTGAAGGAAATTGAATCGGTGATGAGATTGATCTAATAGGATGTAACATCAGGACTTTAGTATAGAGATTATTTTGTTTTATTTCATTATGGATTTTAGTTTCTTTTCTTGGAAGATGTTTTCGCAACATTTGCTATTCCTTTTAATTGCTTTAGTTGTAGTATTGTTATTTTTGGAAGAGTTTTGAATGTGATATCTTTTACCCTTAGTTTTCAATTAGATGAATTATTTTTCAAACTATTATTTTATGATATTGAATATATGCACATGAGGATAAAGGATGTCTATAACATGAATAAATTTTTTCTATGGTCCCTATAATAAAAAATAAAAAATATTTTTCATTTTTTCATAATTTAAAATCATTTTTTTCTAATATTCATTTTATGAGTTTTATTTTATTTTTAAAGCGTCATATGTTTATATTGTATCACAAATATTTATAGATATACATAAATAATCATTTGATATTTTATTTAATTCATAAGCATGCAATTAACAACTATTGCATCATGTGGTAAGAAAAAAACCAATAATTTCAAATTTTCGGTATGAAAACTAAAATAAAAATTATAAAGATTAATATTAAAATTTATTTATTTTATAAGAATTAAAATAAATTTAACCTTTAAAAATTAGTTAATAATAAAAAATAATGTATTTTTCATTAAAAAAATTAAATATAATTAAGTGACCCGTATTTTTAATTACCATTTATCATAATTAGAATATTTCTCTTTCCTTATATACACTGAAAAAAGAAATTCAAAATTTAAAGAGATAAGATTTCATTAATTGCCCAAACAAAATCCTGTTTTATATGTGGCGTGAATTATTCATACTAAGTTTGCTAGTCAATAATATTAAAGTAAACAACTATTTTAGTTTAGTTGCAAGTGTAGAATTAACGTTGCAATGTAGGTTTTATAACAGAATTGCTATATGGTAAAAACTATTGTAGAGTTTGATTGCTGTGTGGTTAGTTAATCAAGAATTTAAAAAAATGAAAAGAAAGATTTGTCAGCAATATTTATTTAGATTAAATTTTTAATATAAATTAATTTTTAATTACCCATAAAAATTAACTGAATAAATATTTAACATTTTTAAAACTATAATTATTAAAATAATTAAAATATAAAATTACAAAACAGTTTGAGTAAAATTGTCGCTTGAATAAAGCCAGATATTGGATAAATCATTTTATAAAAATAAATAGTTTTCAACTTGTATCAACATCTTGAAAGTTCTTTTGTTTTTTTTTTAAAAAAAAAAGGAATTAAGAACAATTATTTTTCATAAATAATTTATTTTTGAGTAAGCATTCAATCGGCTTGGGTAACACCTAATTAAGGTGCACTTAGATAAATAATTTATTAGAGTATTTATTGAACGAGAGATGATTCATAAACTTGTGTATATAAATATAAAACTGGTGGAAATAAATTAATAGGAACTTATTTTTATTAATTTTATTCTCATAAGTTTTTTTTTTATAAAAAAAAAATAGAAAAGTATCATATATAAGCCGTTTTCACATCTTTAAATAATTGTTTCTAATACTCCTTATATAACTATTTACAGGCTGACTTGCATTAGGCCAACCTCTTACTGTTTAGCTCGAATAGACATAGCATACCACCATTGACAACCCTAAAATAGACCACCAAACAATAATCATCCACAAGTGTTCCATGCTATGAACATGAGAAATTCTATTAATTAATAAAACCAATAAAATGTGAGACATGATTATATTATTATGATGTTTAATTCTATCACAATATCAGCGTAAAAATATTTATATTATTCACTAAAAGTCTTCTTAAATATAGCTTATAAATTAATTATTATAAAATCTAATAATTTTCAAGCATGATAATTTATAATTGGACGAGTGAAAAGCTTCCACATTTATATATTTCAACTAAGTTATTATAATATAACTAAAGTAGTTGTCTGATACGTGTCAAAACATTTATTTATTTAACGCGAAATTATGAGACGTTGTTATTTCTACAATGTACACAAAAAGGTTATCCTTGACATGACGTCAGAATCCTCCTCACATTATAAATAGAGAATTCCTTCGTCTCAAATTTGTCAAATAAGGGATATTCTTTAATACCAGGGTGATGGATAAAACCAACTATTGTTTTTCTTTTCTAAATGTGGGAATGAGAACACAAAAATTGGTGATAACCTTTTCAGTATTAGCATGCGCACTGACGTTGGTCTCTATGTCTGATGCAGTCGTAGGTGGTCACCTAGCTCACGATGAATGCAGTCTTACAAGATACCCCAATCTATGTGCTGAAACCTTGATGGAATTGGGTTCAGGGAATCATAATGTTGATAATGTTGTGGCTCTTGTTAACAAAACCATATTTGAAACCAACTTGCCAAGTTCATATTTTGCAGAATTCAGGACTGAGGATGCTCATCTAGCCCATTCTGTTGTTGCAGGTAACTGATATCTTTCTATACATTTTCATTCAGGTATAATTTAGTATCTTGCCTTTATTTATGAATATTACATTAAATTAAGCTATCGACCAATCAAATCAACTGGTATGAAATGGTTTCGGCTTAATTTATGATGTTGAGTTTAACTTCTAAATATACAATATAAATATTTGAAGGGAGAACTACGTTGTACGTCAATAATAATATATATACTCGGCTCAAACATGTACAACAAAAAAATACCTGCGGTTTATCCCAAAAACAAACCGATCGTTCTTTGTTATCATGCATGTTCAATATAGTTATTTATGACAACAAACAATACTGCAGTCTGCAGTTATTCAATTCTCCATTGCATGTATTATTGAGGAATTGTTTCTATTTTTCAACAGAGAAAATCAACCCAAATTTTACCTTAGAACTGTCCCTTAACACAAGTGGCAGCAAGGGAATTATTAAAACAACGTACATTATCATTCAAATATTGGTTAAAAATTAATATTATATTTATTATAATTTGAAAATTACAGATTTGAATAGGACTAGAATATAAAAGAGACTTATTAAATAAAATATAAGATCAATAAAATTTTCTATAACATTTTTATTTAATATTTTATTTACTATGTGTTAAAACTTATAAATTTTGATAAGACTAAATTATAAAAGAGACTCATTAATTAATAATATACAAGATCACAAAATTTACTATTTTTAATAAATTTTTACTAATAATAACGATAATAATAGAAAGAGTTTTAGAGAGTATAGTTGATATTTCTCCATTTTGAAAGTAGTAACTAATTAACAATGTGTTATGTCCTGATAGACTACTGTGAAGAGCTAATGAGCATGTCACTGAAAAGGCTGGACCAATCCCTTAGAGCACTAACATCGTCCCCTAGAAGAAACTACCATGACATCCAAACATGGCTAAGTGCTTCTCTAACCTTCCAACAATCATGCAAAGACCATGTACATGCACACACCACAGTCTTCTCAGCAGATAACCTTTTGCAAAAGATGTTCAACAAAATGGACTATCTTTCTCAACTGGGAAGCAACTCATTGGCTCTTGTAAACATGATGAGCACAACATCAAACCACAAACTTAATGAAAAGGAGCAAGAATTTCCTCATTGGGTATCAACTAAAGGACGAAAACTGCTTCAAGGAGGCACCATAAAAGCAAATGCAGTAGTAGCACAAGATGGCTCAGGAAACTACAAAACGGTTTCTGAGGCCATTGAGGCTGCTTCAGGAGCAAGGTTTGTGATTTATGTTAAGAAAGGGGTTTATAAGGAGAAGATTCGCACCAACAAGGATGGTATCACGTTGATTGGAGATGGAAAATACTCTACTCTTATTGTTGGCGATGACAGCGTTGCCAAGGGTGCCAGCATGCCTGACACCGCCACATTTAGTTAGTTCTCTTCCTCTCTAACTCTCACTTTCCTCGTACTTACTCTATCATGAATTGTAAATAAATAAAAATAATTAATTTTAGATAGATTAAAAAGTTTATTAAATACATTTTTAATTTTCACTATTTCATATAAAATATATACTACATTTTCTAAAATAACTTGTTATTATCATGATATAGTGTTCTTATTTATTATTATGTGAGTATATTTGAATTAAGTACGTTAATTTTATTAAAATTTGTTTATATTTCAGTTAAAAAATTTTAAACATTTTTTTAATATATAAATCCAAAAAGAAGTATCATATAAACTATAAAGTGTTTATAAATATAAAAATTCAAGATCAAAATATGGCTTTTTCACTAAATGTGACATTTGTAACTAGTTGGTCCTCAATTGTTAAAGCCACCCTTTGAGATTATCTTTGAGCTCTAGCATATCTTGTGTTGTGGTCTATAATATATATCTTATAATAAAATTCATTTTTCTTATAAGAAAATTGGGCATATAATAATAATTTAGAAAATGATGGATCGACACTCTTATGCTACTTTCCACCTAAAAAGATAAAGAAATATATAAGAGAAAAAAACAATTAAGCGTATTTACTAGGTGATACAATGATATAGAAAAAAGAGATACAACAACTATAAGAAAAAAAAATGAAAAGTGTTAATAAATTGTTAATAATGGAGAAGTTCTCGGATATCGTTAGTCTAATAGTTTTGTCATTTATGTGATGATTTTAATTTTAACGTGTAATTTGATATCATAATATATAATTAAAAAATTGTTACAAATAGATGATTAATTTAGTAGTACTTATAGCCCTAGACAACTATAATTATATCTATATATATAGCATTACGTACTCTAATAATTTTTTCATTTATGCGATGGTGTTAATTTTAACAACTAATTTGATATCACAATATATAATTGAAAAACCTTTGTTACAAATTGTTGATTACATAAGAAAAATGTTAACAAGTGTTTTAAAGGAACAGGTTAGTATATCCCATCAAGCGTAACCTATATGCAAGTAAGTTTGAATAGCTCGTAAATCATCCTTTTATAAATTAAACATAAACTTTTATTTTGCATAAGAACCTTTTTAGAAAAATTTTGTCGAAAAAAAGATTTTTAAATTTTTTTAACTTATATAATTTAATTTTTATTTATTAATTAAGTTTTAATATTTTAAAATAAATCATCAATAAACAAAAATAATACATTACTATAATATATATAAATTATTTATCATAAATTTAAAATATAATTTATATATTTAAAAGTATTATATATATAATTTATCATAAATTTTAATTACATTTAATAAATATTTAATATCTACCTTACGCATACTAAAATGTTTTTTTTTGGCATATTTACTTTAAATGCTCCCAAACAGCATAAAGAAATTTTTATACAGAATAATCCATATATGTACATATTAAAAACTAAAAAGAATTATATATATATATAATATTTAATATGTATATTTTAAATAAAAATATTTTTTTTTTCAAAGTACTTGTTGAGGTTCACTTAAACATAAAGTGCACAATATTCTGTATAAAAAAGTGTAATAGTCATAATAGAATGATTAGTGACAAATGTATCGACAAGGGGGTCTAGGGAATTGATGAACTAGCAGCATTTTATTGGTCTGAATTCATTGCGATGATGCCGAGTGTCGATACATTGATAGCAACAGCTCGATCAACCAAATAACTAAAATATTTTCACGATTGGATGCTTCATATTTAAGTCTTGAATATATTTAAGTCAATGACTCACATGATTAGACTTTTCCCACATGTGCAAATTTTTGGTTCATTGAGTTAAAAACAAATTTATTAGTTGAGCATAATGGATGAACAAAAATACTTACCCGGTTACCCCTCTACTGTCTCTTTCATCTCATTTTTAAATATACTAGTTTTATTGCTCACAAATGTACTAAGAACATTGAACAGCATTTTCCAACATTTTATTATCTTTTTCATTAGTAACTTTTATCGAATCACTTTTATATATTTTTCACTTTTTTTTTCTATTTTTTTTTTTATCTAACTAGAGGTTGAGTATGACCTAATATTCAATTTGTTAACCTGATTTAACCTATTCCAAAATTAATATATCTTAATAAAATTTGAACTTTAAATTAAATCTAATACTTTTTAGAATAAGTTCAAATTACATTTCGAATCGTGTAACTCGATTTAACATATAACATTTTCTTATAAAATGTAAGTATTTTTTAATTATTATGCATTTATTAAAAATTTAATAATACATTTCATAACATGATAATATAATGTAATTGTTTATTTTAATATATATATGGTAAATTATACCTTAATTTAAATTTTATATTTATTATTTAATTATACATAATATAATATAACAAAGTTAAATAAACTAAATCTTGTTGTATACGTATTTCTGAAGTCTTGATCGGATTAAATTTAAATTTTAAAAAATGGTCCAAACAAAATTCCTGAGTCGAATTTAGACAAAGATAAGCATGTCGAACTTGACCATGCTCACCCATATATCTACTTACACCACCGAATGAATTTAGCTCTGTTGTTTAACAATGTGTGAATAATTGTAAATTTGTAATCTTTTAATACCGTATTGGATTCCTACCATGAAAAAAACAATATCGTCCTCCCATTATCAACGAAAGCATCATGTTTCATTTTCTAAACTTTTTTCCAATATCATACTGATAACTGAGTAACTGACACCAATTAACTTCGTTTCCTTCCCAGCAATCACAGGCGATGGGTTCTTCGCACGAGACATTGGATTCCAAAACAACGCAGGTCCCGAGGGCCAACAAGCCATAGCACTAAACATAGTTTCCGATCATTCTGTCCTCTACAGATGCAGCATAGCAGGTAGCACTATTTTGAACTAAAATACGCATGATTGGATGCAGCATAGCAGGTAGCCTATTTTGAACTAACATACGCATTGAAAGTGTAATTTCTTAAAATAAAATGTATTTTTCTGACAATTTATAAAACTTTCATACAATTTTTTAAGTATAATTAGTATTATTATTTTTATATTAAAATTAAAGTTTTATCTCAATAACATATATATAAATATGACATGTATTAAATGAAAATACATATTATAAAGATAAAATTTTAATATTAATATTTAAAAAATAATATCAACCACAATTAAATAACGTCACACTAATACATCATGTTCTTACCGGAATTTGGCCGTAGAGGTGAACCGTCCAGTAAGATCGGTGAGCCTCCTTTGCTTGATGTATTGGTGTTCCAAGATAGGGGAGATACCTGCAAAAGAGACTCTGATGCCAAAGTTAGAGTTTGTATGAATAATAGTCTCGTATATATAATGCACGTACCTTGAAGTGATTTAGGTTTGTCTTGGGCCTTGGGCCTGAGATAGGATACGTTGTGATGTAATTAGATGAGGGAGCCCGTCTGGGGCGGGATCCCGAGTTTCAGTTGTGATTTGCTCGAATACTGGGCTGATACTAGACAACTAGTTGTCCGGGGTCGCCCCGCGTTGATAACCCGAGCTCGGAGCCCGGTTGCGAAGTACGGATAGTACACTAGCCCCCCGAGCTCTGAAGGCCGTAGGTCGAGGAGTTAAGACCGGGCTCGCTAGAGGGGAGTGGCTTTTCGCATACGTTATCTGAAGGTCTGCCATGTGTCATAGCTGTTCATTTCCCGGAAACGTGCGCGTGGCGCATTAAGGGAAATGACGGTTATGCAATGATGATTTGCAATTAATGTGTCGTCAGGCGTGCCCCCATGGCCGACACGTGGCCTGACCGTTTTGAATTTGGGGAGAGGTTTTTCTTTTTCTCGCGCCTCTTCCCCTCTGCTCTCCATCTCTGTTTTCTCCGTCTTTCTTGTGCTTCTTTGAGTTTTCTTGTTCTTCTTGATGGCTGGTGGTCGTGGCGCCGGTTCTTCCGCCCCTGTTAGGGGCAAGGCACGTGGTAAAGCGGTGGTTACCGGAAGGGGCGCTGCTGAGGGAAAAGAGATGCCTCCGCCCAGGGACTCGGAGTCAGGCGTTCTTGGCTATAATTGGGTAAAACGTGAAATGGCCAAGGTCGTGTTGCTGCCGCATTTGTTCGACCTGCTCGATCAGCCTTCTCAATGCTACTTCGTTGTCCATGCTTGTCGTGCGATCTACGTCGTCTGTTGCTCGTCTACTATGGCTTCGGGTGAAAACCATAAGCGTGGCCGATAAGAGCTGTCTTGATCGGCCCCACGGTGGGCGCCAAATGTTCTTACTGGAGATCGGCCGTACGAGACAATTTGCTGGGTAAGATCGGTGAGCCTCCTTCACTGGGTACGCTTGTTGTTCCAAGGCGGGGATGGTACTTGCAAAAGAGACTTCGATGCTAAAGTTAGTGTTTGTGGGTGTATGAGTCTCGTATAAGTAATGCACGTACCTTTGTGTGAATTAGGGTTTCATTGGGCCTTGGGCCTGAGATCAATTATGACCTATTTGGATGTCGGGATGACGTCGCCTAGCGCGTGTCTGAGGTCACTCCGCGCTGAGATGCCGAGCTCGAGCTCGACATAGCAGTACGAATAGTACATTTTGCTTTCATTCTCAATAAAGAAAGTCAAGAGTCTCTTATTTATGAAAGACAATACCTTGAAACTCAGGGAGGAAGAAGAATGAACATTGTTGAATAATTAACATATTGAAGGTTTTGAGAGTCACTTAGAGTGAAATGGTGTCATTGAAAATTGAAAGTTTTGAGCTTAGAGAATTGTTGACGAAGGTGTGAAACTGAATATCTATGGTCACAATGATGGTGGTGGAGAAAGAAAACCTTGTTTTGAGTTTGTAGGAAAATTTTACTAAATTTTGATAAGAGACTCTTTGTTCAAGTAAAAAATGAATTATTGAAACCTCTAAAGTTGTGTTTATGGCAGTTTGGAGGCTAAGGTGACATATTTTAACAACAAAAGCTAACAATGTTTAAATAGGGATTAAAAACAAGAATTATATAGATTTGAAGAACTAAAATCAAGAAATTTTTTTGAGGGACTAAAATCGAATAGAGTCCATTTTATGGAGGATAAAAACATATTTAACTCTTTGAAATATGATTTAAAATTTATTTTTAATTGAATGTTTAATAGTATTTTTAGTCTTTTTATAATGTTTAGTCTGTAGTTTTGATTTTTTAATTTTTTAATTTTTAATTTTAGTCTTTAAATTGAATATTTATCCATTGATAATTAAAATTGTAAGTAAATGATACAATAATTAATATTTATTAAATTTTAATTTTAATTCACTTTTTCCCATAAAGTGATCAAATGAGATGAAAATATGATAAAATAAAGATTAAAAGTGCAATTTACTATAAATATTATTAATTTTAGTTGTAGACCTGAGACCTTTCTCTCTTTATATATACTAGCAAGAAAAAGGCAAATGGTGCTTGCACTGTATTAAAATAAGAAAAATAATTATTTTTATGAATAATTGTTGTAGTTTTAAAATATATATATATATATATATATATATATATATAGAGCGAGAGAG